GGTGTTATGCTGAGTGAAATAAGTCAATCAGAGAAAGACATGTATCACATGACCTCACTGATATGAGGAATTCTTAATCTCAGGAAACAAACTGAGTGTTACTGGAGTGGTTGGGGGTGGGAGGGATGGGGTGACTGGGTGATAGACATTGGGGAGGGTATGTGCTACGGTGAGCGCTGTGAATTTTGCAAGACTGTTGAATCACAGATCTGTACTTCTGAAACAAATAACGCAACATATTTTAAGAAAAAAGAGAAAGAAGATAACAGGAGAGGAAGAAAAGGGGAGTATGTCAGAGGGGGAGACAAACCATGAGAGATGATGGACTCTGAAAAACAAACTGAGGGTTCCGGGGGGCGAGGGGGATGGGTTATCCTGGTGATGGGTATTGAGGAGGGCACGTTCTGCATGGAGCACTGGGTGTTATGAACAAACAATGAATCATGGAACACTGCACCAAAAACTAATGATGTAATATATGGTGATTAACATAACAATAAAAAAATTAAAAAAAAACCCACTAAATTCTGAAGAAAAAAATATTTTAAAAAAAGGGGAAGAATGGATGAGTTCACATTTTATGTAACTGACATTACACAGAAAGGTTTCAAGCATCAGTGAGAAAATTGGATGAGATCATCTTTGTTGATTCCCCACTTTTTCTAGGTTTACTGAAAAGTATTTTAAATAGACACATAAAAGTAGAGAGAATATTGTAATGACCTTTCTGTATCCTTTGGTCAATTCAATAATTATCAATACATATCTTATTTATATATACCCACACCTAATACCTATTTCCTCCAATTACTTTGAAGTAATACTAGATATATTGTTTCATTTAAAAATATTTCCATAGGCATTTCAAAATAAAATTACTGTTTGGGGGAAAAATACACTATAATTATCACACATAAAAAAGTGTAACAGCAATTCTTTAATATCAAATATCCAATCAGAGTTCACATTTCTGTAACAATTTCATGATTTTTTTGTTGTTGTCTATTCAAATCAGATTGAAAGTCAATGCATCATACTTGGCTGATACATCTTTCAGTTCCTTTTTAATCTATTTATTGACAGAGAGAGTGTACAAGCAGGGGGAGTGGCAGGCAGAGGGAGAAGCAGACTCCCTGCTGAGCAGGGAGTCTGACACAGGGCTCAATCCCAGAACCCTGGGATCATGACCTGAGCCGAAGGCAGAAGCTTAACCAACTGAGCCACCCAGGCGCCCCTGGTCCTTTTTAATCTATAGTTTTCCTCTCTTTTTCCCTGAAATATATTTGTTAAAGAAACCAGGTCATTTGTCCTACAGCATTTGAGCATTTTCCATGTTCTGAATTTGCTGATTGCATACTGGTGTGTTATTTACACATCCCTTATACTTTTTGTAAATTGGTAATTAGATCTAGATCCTTGAGGTTTAGTGTTGCCTCTTCTGGGATTGTTCTGCTTTGTGATTTCCTCTTCCCCTAAAAAAAAAAAAAATGTATATCATGACTTCAATTTCATACAGATCATAACTATTGTAGATGAGGACTTTTCTCTGTGGCATTCTTTTTTTTTCCTGTGAAATTCTTTGGTGGGGAGGATACATAATGTCTTGCATGGTCTAATGGAAAGAAAAAACCCTGGAGCCCAACAGACCTTAGTGGAGGACCCACCATCTACATGTTATGTGGTCTTGAGCAAGCTCTTTTAATTTCAGCTATTTCCTTTATAAAATAAGGACAATAACGACTTCCTTAAAAGGCTGTTGTAAAGATTAGAGAGAGCAACACATATAAAGCATCAAGCACATCATAAGTTTTTAATTGTAGGTGTTATTACCCTAACAGTCTAGAGGTCTTGAGGATGTCTCTGCTCTATGCCTGGAATGTTCTTTCCCACCGTATCCCCTACCCCTATATTGCTTTTCACCACTCCAATCAACCATTACCTTTCCAGGAGATGCTCCCAAAACCCTGGTCTGAGCTATCAGCTGCTCCTTTACATCCCCACTGTCTCTTAGGTTATGAGCATTCATCAAACCACTATTAGTTTCTTGTTTTGCTTCCTCACTAAACTGTGAGCTACTATAGATAATTCCTCTGTGTTTTTTATTTAAATGTTGTTTTAATTATAAAACATGTCATACCATAAAATACAGATGAAACATATAATTGACAATTATTTACCTTCTACTAAAGCAAGGGTTAATGTTTTATCTAATTGGTTTCATATATCTCTCTTTAAAAAATAATAATGGTCTTACTGACCATTATTGGTCAGTAAAGCCTCACCCTTATACTTCTATTCTTTCCTTTCCAAAGGAAATGCCCATCTGAAGGATATTTTTATACATTGATTTCATATGTACAAGATATACTATGCATACTTTGGGTCTGTAAGGTTTTACAAGTAGGATCAAGCTGTATGTATGCTTTTTGCTTACTGATTGTTACACTTTTGAGGTTTATCCATAGTATAATATGTACCATTTTTCATTAATTTGAATTACTGTATAGTATTCCATTGTATGAATGAATTAAAATTTATTTAAATATTTTCTTACTGAGAAACAGTTGGACTGGTTCCACCCTTTTGTTATTACAAACAGTGCTCCAATGGACAACCAGAAACATTTGTCCTTGTGCTCACATGTGAGTGCTTCTTGGGTGGGGGAGCACATGTAAGATGTCCCAAATCCTAAAATAGTGCCTGAAATATTAAGTGCTCAATCAGTGTCTATTGAAGAAAAGGAAGAAAATATGACATTTTTCATTCATTCAAAAATGAAATGCTGATGGGCATAAAACCAAGCTATCACTAAGGCCCAGTTATTAAAGATATGAAGTTATCCAGGAGGCTTTATAAATGTGAATGGGCTGCTATTACTTGCCTTAAGCCACAGAAATTCTGGTTCAAGTGAATTACAGGGGAAATAAAAACATAATGCCAGAGAAAATCAGTCATTCCCTGGGTTGACATTAGCTATGTATTCAGTTCAGTTTTAAGGACAGAGCTTCAGTTTTTACAATGGACAGAACTGAAATGCCAAGGCAACCACAGGGTTCTGATTTATGGCACCATGAGTTGCAAAATGATCTAACACCCCACATCACAATGAGGCCTTATTCACTTTCATGGGAATGATCAAACACTAGGTCGGAGTATGAAATAGATGCACTTTGCCCTTAAGAGCCTACTTGGGTCACATTCTGTCACATGCTGGAAGCCAACATCAAAATCACTGAACTGTTTAAAGAGCTTGATAATTGATGCTCTTTGAGGGGGAGAAAACCCATTATTCAGTTTCTGATATTACTTTGGAGACTATATTAGAAAACCTCGTGTAACTCTCTCATTTTCCAAATTTCCCAGCTATAAACCTCCCACATGCAAAGGCAATGTCAAGGATCTCTCTATCCAAACCGTGCAACCACCTATTTCTTCCTTAATCAAATCACTGGCAATAGAGATATGATTACATGTAGACCAATTAGATCCACTCCCTGGAGCTGAGGATGGAATTAGCTTCCCTGAGGCATGAGTTGCACACAGGAAGGTAGATGCCTGAATGAACTTAAGGTCCTGTTAAGAAGAAAGAGGCAGGAAATAAATCCTGAGTAGACAACCAACAGTGTCAGCAACAGTCCACCCCTTTAACCTCCCAATATCCACCCACATTCCTCTTGCCGTGCAAGACACTGATGCCTATATGAAATATATTCACTCCAACTCCAAATCTATGATCTCTAAGTGATGCACAGGTTTTGTCTTCAAGCAGCTCTTCATGTTCAAGCAATGGACAGGAAAAAATAAAAAACCAAGAGAGTTGCAATTAAAAACAAAAGAGAAAAGAGACTGGAAGCCGTATAGACTGGAAACCCACTAGTCACTGGCTAGTGCTAAGATGGTGTAGAAGGTTGGGGAACTTGGCCAGAAAGCTAGAGTAAAATTCACCATCCCACCCCCAGTCTCACAGTGCTCTGAAGATAAAGTCCAGCTAAGAATGAGCCTAAAATGAACAACAGGTTTCCACCTCAAGATAGTTGTTAGATTTTGCAGCTGCTGTGTAGCAGCTGATTTAAAGAACTAAGCTAACACCTCTGAGTAGCAAAACATCCAAGACTGAAGAGACCAAGAATTCAAAGCCAAGAAGGGCCACACCCTGGGGACAGGGATAAACCAGAACCGAGCCAAATTTCACGGATACTGGAAACCAGCCCCTGTTCAGCCTGATCCTTGCTTTCATTGAAGAAATCGTCCCTTTACTCTATATGCTACTAGAAGAAAACGAAGACCCTTGCTGAGGAAGAATATTATTTGGAGTGCTATAGTTCTTTTTTTACATAATGTCAGGCATATAACAACAGAGAGGCAGGAAGATGTGTCCAATAATCAAAATGAAAACAAATAATAAAAACAGACGAACAGAAAATCCAGATTTTGGAAATAGCAGAGAAGAATTAAATTAATTAATGCATTAAAGAAAATAGAGAAAAAGGTGGACAAATATCAATGAAAAAATGGTTAATTCAACATAGGATACAAAACAATCAAATGGACATTATAAAACTGAAATACACAATGTAAAAATTAAGACTCCATTGGAGAGATATAAAAGCAGGCTGGAAACAAGAAAAGTGAAATTAAAGACAAGTCAGTAGAAAATATATAAACAGAAGCATAGAGAGAAAAAAGAATAGTATAAGAGACAGTAGGGCACATAGTCAAAAAACATATAGTGATCAAAGTCTTAGATGGAGAGGAAAGAGAGATTGGAACAATATATGGGGAAGAGGAAATAATAGCCAAGAATGTTCCAAAATTGGTGAAAGACATCAAACCACTGTTTTGGAAATCTCAAGAACCCCAAACAGGATAAATCAAAGACAACCATACTTAACCATATTATAGTCAAACTACTGAGGAACCAGAGAAAACCTAAAAATCTGAGAAGTAGCCACAGGAAAAAAGACACACTATCTTCAAAGAAGCAACAATAAAAACCAATGGCTGACTTTTTGACAGAAACTTCGGAAACCAGAAAAATTACAATTTAAAATGCTGAAAACCAACCTAGAATTCTATACTCAGTAAAACTGTTCTTTGAAAATTAATGGAATAGAGACACCACAAAAAAAAGAAAAAAAGCTGGGGGAATTCATCACCAGCATACCGACACTATAAGAAATACTAAAGGAAGTTCTCTGGGTTGAAGGAAAATTGTCATAGATGGAAATATGAAACTGCAGAGTGAGCACTACAGGATGAGAACTACCTGCTGGAGACCAGCTTTGATGGAATAACCCTGGTGTACAAGCTATAAGCATGAAGAGGCACTTCACTGCTGATGAACTGAACTAACCTCTCAGGAAAACGGTGATTGTTTCCTCCCACCCCTCAGCCCCTCTGCATTCCAGAACCTTGAGCAAAAGCAGAATCAGACCTTTCTTTCCATCACAGGTCTCAGGAACCCTGCCGACATTGTCCCAGGAACTTTATCCAATGTACCAGATTATTTTCTTGGGGAAAAAAAAATCATTTTAAGATTCCTAAGTGCACGCTCATTTTTTTAAGTTTATTTCTTAAAATTTAATATGGTAACTTCGTTGAGATATAATTTATATGCCACATAATTCATTCATTTAAAGTGTACAATTCAAAAGTTTCAGTTTATTAACAGTTCTAAAAACATCACCAAAAAAATGTTAGAACTTTTCATCACTCCGAAAAGAAACTCAATAGCCAATTAGCAGTCACTGCTTATTTTCCTGCTGTACTTCCTATCCCCAGCCTAAACACCACTACCAATCTGCTTTCTGTCTCCATAGATTTACCTCTAATGGACATTTCATATAAATGGAATCATACAATAGGTATTATTTCATGACTGCCTTCTTACATTTAGCATAATGTTTTCAGGGTACCATGTACCAATAGTATTTTTTTTAATTGTGGTAAAATACATGTAACAAAATTCACAATGCTAATCATTTTGAAGTGTACAGTTCAGTAGAGTATTGCTTTGCAATCAATCTCCAGAACCTTTTCATCTTGCAATACTGAAACTCTACATCCATGATACAACCTCTCCGCATTGCCCTTTGCTAGCCCTTAGTAACCACCATTCTACTTCTTGTTTCTATGAATTTGACTATTCTGGATACCTCATATAAGTGTCATCACACAGTATTCATTTTTTTGTGACTGGTTTGTGTCACTTAGTATAATGTCCTCAAGGTCCATGCACATTATAGTATGTGTCAGAATTTTCTTTCTTCTTTTTTAAACCTGAATAATATTCCATTAAGTATTCATCTATCTGTTGATGGACACTTGGGTTATTTTCACCTTTTGGCTATTGTGAATAATGCTGCTATGCACATAGATGTACTAATATCTCTTTCAGACCTGCTTTCAGTTCTTTCAGACATATATCCAGAAGTGGAATTACTGGATCATGTGGTCTTGATTTTTAATTTTTTTGAGGAACTGCCATACAGTTTTCCATAGAGGCTGCACCATTTTACATTCCCAACAAGAGTGCATAAAGATTCCAATTTCTCCTCATCCTCACCAACACTTGTCATTTTCTGTGTTGTTTTTTTTTTTAAGAGTAGCCATTTTAACGTGTGTTTGGTGAATAAGGGGCCCAACTTCATCCTTCTGCTTGTGGATATCCAGTATTATCCCAGCACCACTTGTTCAAAAGACTATTCTTTCCTCCCTTGAATTGTCTTGACACTTGTTGAAAATTAATTCACTGTAAATGTGATGGTTTATTTCTAGATTCTCAATCCTATTCTATTGATCTATAGGTCTAGCCAAATGCCAACGCCACACTGTCTTGATTACTATAGTGTTGTAGTAAGTTTTGAAATCAAAAAGTGAGAGCTTTCAACTTTGTTCTTTTTGAAGAATGGTTTGGTTATTCTGGGTCCTTTGAATTTTCATATGAATTTGAGAATCAAATCGTCAGTTTCTTCAAACAAATCAGCTGGTGTTATGATATAAATTGCTTTGACTCTGTAGGTCAGTTGTTGGGGGGATGCTACCATTTGAACAATATTAAGCCTTCCAATCCATAAACATGGAATGTCTTTCCATTTATTCAGGTCTTTTTTAATTTCTTTCTTTCTTTTTAAGATTTATTTATTTATTTTTAGAGAGAGAGAGAGAGAAAGAGCATGAGCAGGGGGAGGGGAAAAGGGAGGGAAACTCAAGCAGACTCCCCATTGAGCACCAAGCCCAATGGGGCTAGATCTCATGACCCCAAGATCATGACCTGAGCCGAAATCAAGAGTTGGATGCTCAACCAACTGAGCCACCGAGGTACCCCACTTTAATTTTTTTTCAGCAGTGTTTTATAGTTTCATCATGTAAGTTTTTCACTTCTTTTGTTAAATTTATTCCTAAGTATTTATTCTTTTTGAAGCTATTGTATGTGGAATTGTTTTTTTTATGTTTTTATTTAAATTCCAGTTAGTTAACACAATGTAATATTAGTTTCGGGTGTACAATATGGTGATTCAACATTTGGGGACTGTTTCTAGTATACAGAAATACAATTGATTTTGTGTATTGATCTTGTATTTGGCAACTTGCTGAACTAGTTTATTAGTTTGAGTAGTTTTTTAGTTAGTCCTTAGGCTTTTTTTATATATATGATCATGTCACCCCCAAATAGGCATAGTTTCACTTTTTTCTTTTCAATATGGATATCTTTCTTTCTTGTTTATTTTTCCAGATTAGAATTTCTAGCATAATTTTGAATAGAAGTGATGACAACAAACATCTTTGCCTTATTCCTGACCTTAGGGAAAAAACACTGTCTTTCACCATTAACTATGATTTGGCCTGTGGGGTTTTTTTATAAATCTCCTTTATCAAATTGAGGAAGTTCCCTTCCATTACTAATTTTTGAGTATTTTTATCATAAAGGGGTTTTAGATTTTATCAAATGCTTTTTCTAAATTTATTGAGATGATGATGTGGTTTTTGTCCTCATTGCATTGATATGGTATACCATATTAATAGATTTTTTTATGTTAAACAAAAATTTTTTGGATAAATCCACGTGTCATGCTGTGCAATCTTTTTTATATGTTGCTGAATTCAATTTCCAAGTATTTGTTAAGGATTTTCATATCTATATTCATAAGAGATGTTTTCTTTTATGTGTGTGTGTGTGTGCAATGACTGTCAAGTTTTGGTATCAGGGTAATAAAGACCTCATACAATGGGTTGGTAACTGTTCCTTCTTTTTTTTTTGCAAAAATTTATATTAACTCTATTTTATTTTATTCATTTCAATTCCAGTATAGTTAACATACAGTGTTATATTAGTTTCAGGTGTACAATATAGTGATTCAACAATTCTTTTTTTTAATTTTTTTATTGTTATGTTAATCACCATACATTACATCATTAGTTTTTGATGTAGTGTTCCATGATTCATCATTTGTGCATAACACCCAGTGCTCTATTCAGTACATGCCCTCTTTAATACCCATCACCAGGCTAACCCATCCCCCCACCCCCCTCCCCTCTAGAACCTTCAGTTTGTTTTCCAGAGTCCATCGTCTCTCATGGTTCATCTCCCCCTCCGATTTACTCCCCTTCATTCTTCTCCTCCTGCTATCTTCTTCTTCTTTTTTTTTTTTAACATATATTGCATTATTTGTTTCAGAAGTACAGATCTGTGATTCAACAGTCTTGCATGATTCAACAATTCTATACATTACTCAGTGCTCATAATGATAAGTGTCCTCTTAATTCTCTCCACCTATTTCACCCATCCCCCCGACCCACCTCCCCTCTGGTAACCAATGTTTGTTCTCTTAGTTAAGAGTCTATTTCTTGGTTTGTCTCTTTTTTTGTTGTTGTTCATTTGTTTTGGTTCTTAAATTTCACATATGAATGAAATCATATGGTATTTTTCTTTCTCTGACTGACTTATTTCACTTAGCATTATATTCTCTAGATCCACCCATGTCATTACAAATGGCAAGATTTCATTATTTTTTATGGTTGAATAATATTCCTGTGTGTGTGTGTGTGTGTGTGTGTGTGTGTGTGTGTGTGTGTGTGTCTACCATATCTTTTTTATCCATTCATCTGTAGGTGGACGCTTGGGTTGCTTCCATAATTTGGCTACTGTAAATAAGGCTGCACTAAACACAGAGACACATGTACCCCTTTGATTTGGTGTTTTTGTATTTTGGGGATAAATACCCATTAGTGTAATGACTGGATCATAGGATAGTTCTATTTTTAACTTTTTGAGGAACCTCCGTATTATTTTCCACAGTGGCTGCACCAGTTTGTATTCCTACCAACAGTGCACAAAAGTTCTTTTTTTTCCATCCTCACCAACACTTGTTGTTTCTTGTGTTTTTGGTATTAGCCATTCAGAGGTGTGAGGTTTTGATTTGTATTTCCCTGATGATGAGTGATGTTGAGCATCTTGTCATGTGTCTGTTGTCCATCTGTATGTCTTTGGAGAAATATCTGTTCATGTCTTCTGCCATTTTTTAATTGGACTATTTGGTTTTTGGTGGGCTTTTTTTGTTTGTTTGTTTTTTAGTTTTATGAGTTCTTTATATATTTTCGATACTAACCCTTTGTTGGATATGTTATTTGGAAATACCTTGTCTCATTCAGTAGGTTGCCTTCTAGTTTTCTTGATTGTTTCCTTTGTTGTGCAAAAGCTTTTTATTTTGATGTAGTTCCAATAGTTTATTTTTGCTTTTTTTTCCCTTGCCTCAGGAGACATATCTAGAAAAATGTTGCTATGGCTGATGTCAGAGAAATTACTGCCTGTGCTCTTTTCTGGGTTTTCTACGATTTCATGTGGCACATTTAAGTCCTTAATCCATTTTAAGTTGTTTTTGTGTGTGGTGTAAGAAGGTGGTAAAATTTCACTGTCTTACATGTTGCTATCCAGTTTTCCCAGCACCAAATGTTGAAGAGACTGTCTTTATCCCAGTGCATATTCTTGCCTCTATTAACTCTATTTTAAATGTTTAGACAGTTCAGGAGTAAAGTCTGGACCTGAGCTTTTCTTCGTGGGGAATTTCTAAATTACTAATTCAATCTTTTTGCTTTTTATAGGTCGGTTCAAATTTTTATTTCTTTTGAGTCCGTTTTAGTAGTTTGAGCCTCCTAGGAATTTGTCCATTTCATCTAGGTTATCAAATTTGTTGGCATACAATTGTTCATAGTATTCCCTTATAATCCCTTTTATTTCTGCAAGGTTGAGATATATATATCAAACCAAAGAATACATTGTTATAATTATTAGGTTATATAATGTCTTTTAAAGAAGTTGAGTGGAAAGGAAAGCAAGTTTTTATTTGTAGAGTCTGTTATATTAACTTCTTATTTACCATTTATGGCTTTCTTCAT